TTATGACGATTGCATAATGATTTTCTTTAAGGACAAGACGCGATAAAACGATGCGTGTGTATCTGCGCGGGTATACCGACGTCGCCGGGATATTAACTATATTCATTCCGGGGTCTCGAGCTCTGCTCCGATCAATAATTCGTTCCCCAGCTGTCACGCCCCTCGTAGACGAGCCGAATGAACGAGCGAGCGCGGTACCAACGAAAAACTATCAACTCGTGACACGTATAATTATAACGTTGTTTTCGACCGTCGAAACTTTTCGTCGAACATTCATTCGCCAGACAAGTTCTAGCTCAAATTATATCGTTTCCGATAATTATTTGCAAAGGTTAATCCGCGTGCGCGAGATACGGAGAGAACGATCGATGTTTCTATACGACGATAAACGCTTCCTCAATCTGTCAAATCTGTCAAATGTACAATCCCGTTCTTGTACCGATGTCAAGAAATTTGACAGCAAGTGACGGTTTCTTTCAGAGATTGTAGACAACAATATCTTCAATCGGACATTTCTATATCCATGGATGGAATTCTTCAATTTATCTTCGAGTACGAGCTAATTTCGATTTTTCCCCGATATCTCGACGGGAGATCGATAATGGTAATAGATTAATCCGATAAGGAGATTTTCTGATTCAAGAGCTCGCAGTTTTTGTTCTTTTTTGCTCTCTCTCTCGACCTTTGCCAGCCGGATAACGGGTTGCCAACGCCCCCAGAAAACTGAGATACCACCAGCTGTGTTCACCCGCTTCATTACCTACCGAGTGAACGCAGAGTGGCTCCCTGTCCTCCGAAAGCTCGTTCCGCTGGATCTCTACGTGCCTTACCGCTTTTACCGACCAACTAATGGCCGTGTAATCGTCACGCGATGCCCCGGCTCTTCCAACAACGCTTATATCTCAACGCGAAACGTCGTATTGTCTCTCTCCTGTATCGCGCAAACATAATGTCTCCTTATCGATCGAGCTTCTTTTATGTCCCCATCCTTCCCGCATCATACGATACGCCTCTGATTATGCGAGAGATCCCAGGGATCAGTTCTACCACAGAATTAACCAGAGATTAAAAAATGTCCAATTGTTTATTATACCTCTAATGACTTTTTACATCTAAGGATGATACTACTTGTGGCTCATCCGACTGCTTTCGTCCGTCTGCATTGCACAATTATAATGTTGTTACACTGGTATCACTGACTTTAAATCAAATAGTTCAGTAGATCAATCGATTTCCTTTCACGTATATGTTTCTTCCAGCCGACGCGATTTCATCGAAATAATCTTGCATTTGTAAATTCAGATATATCGGAAATGTTTTCAGTGGAGAACCAACTTCGGAATGATTTTGATCATCTAATCACTCGAATAAGCCACAAGTAGGATTACCCTTAGATATAGATCCATAAGGAATACTTATTTCTCCTCCTCTCCCTCATCAATGTGATAATGTTTCTAAAGTAGTTTAGAAAAACAATACATATTCAATATATGTATATGTACAGTTATTATATCTTTAATATGCGAATGTGCGGTAACTTGTTTAATCATTATTTTTCCGCTAAAGAAACTAAACGATCTAGCATATTGACACAACTGCTTATTATATTATATTATATTCCTGTTCAATATCGAAAAAATACCAGCAAAAATAATGACATTAGTCTCTCCGTATCTGCGATCGAACGCTCGTTCGCAAAACATAAGAATAAAGAGGAATAAGAAACTATCGTAGCAATTACCGCGTATCATTAACAAACATTTGATGTGGCGCAGACTCGTTTGATTACGCATGACGTTATTCTACTTGCGCAACCTTGAGCCGAGACATGGCACGGAAGCGACCGAGAAGAATGCGTCTTGAGTCTCTCTGACGCATTCACTTACAGCCTTAAAAATGAAGATCTGGCACGCTAATGTACGATAATTTCGTACCTTTATTCTTTTCTTCTCAGTTATCGAATCGCGAACCATATACAACATTTTTCGTAAACACGTTCGGCGGAGATTCAATGCCTAAAAGATGAATCAGAATGCGGATTAAATAATATAGCACGGATGAGGTATAGAAAGCGTAAAGGAAATAATAGGATGTCGCAAAAGCAAAATGAAAGAAGGGATTTGTGTGATATACTCACACAATGTGCATCTCTGTTCACTGTTAATATCCGCCAGACGCGAGAATTAATCCTCCTCACCCTACCGCTCCAACTTGCCAGATTAAACATTGTGTATAAAAATGGTCTGTCAACATCCTATATTACATCATACGAGACTCTCAGTCGAGGAAAGCCTTCAGGCTGCGCGAGGAAGGCGAAATGAGATACATAATTAAGTCGTTAACGATTCGAGCGCGACGAGGAGAAGCGTTGACGAAAATGACGTGTCGCGTTCGATAAAAACAGACCACGCGCATTGTCGATTTAAAGTTGAAGCACCGTTTCCGTGGACTCGAGTATACATACACCGTGCGTGCTGCCGTTATCTCTTATCGCGACGTCTACGACGCTGCGTTCTATCGTTTAATAGCGTCAACACAGAGCGAGAGAGAGAAGCACGTTTTGCGCGCACTGCTAGCACAACCTGCGGCGACGCCACGGCCATGTTCCAAGGTCAACGCGATAAGTCGGTCAAAGCGCGGGGTTATCGCGTATTATAATATTCAGCATTTCGCTCGACGCGTTTAAATGCGACAGGCCCAACACTCGCGGAGCCTCAGAGTGTCCAGCAGACTCGATGACAAAATTTCCCTGACTTTTTCCAAGATCAGAAATTCATCCTTTTCCCGCATTTCTTAGTATTATTTTTTGCAAATTTATATAATTTGCATATATCTATGCAATCAATCAATTAAATGTTAATTCATGAAATCCTCGAGATATTTTTGTCAACAACGAAAAGGTTCGGAAGTTAAAACAAACAACAATTTTAATCAATTATACAATCTGCATTATGTACGATAATCGAAACATATGTCACTACAAACTGATTTAATAATCACCGCTGTAGATGAACGACACAAAAAATTAGCATGCTGGGAGTCGAGGAGAAGTTTATATTTATTTAATAAAAAATTTCAAATTATCGAGACAAATGTAGAATAATGTAAAAAAAATCCAGATAAATAGAAAAATTTCCTGACTCTTCACTGACAATTTCAGATTTATAAAATTCCTTGGCAATGCCTGGTTTTCCAGATTTCCCTGACCGCTAGACATTTTTATATTTTATGATTATTTTTTTTACGACAATCTCTGTTTATGTCATTTTATTGAAAATGCATTATTTAAGATGACATATTCGTACTATGTAATATGTATATGCTGTATATTAAGAATTTCAGAATTTTTTTATTAAATAATGCTTTTAGTTGGCAAATGTACGATTTTTGAGCGTTCGCCAGTGTTTATTTATCGATGGAAATATACAAATCGTCAAACGGTATTGCCCGTTTGAAAAAAAATTGTAGGTCCATAGTTCGTGAATGACGAAGCTAAAAATGGCCCACTAGCCCGATGACGCACTATTTCGGCGTACTCGGGCAATCGTGCCAAGGTTCGGACAATTGCGTATCATATAATTTGCGCAACGACCATAACTTTTACATTTTATTTGATCACCATTTCATCTATACTATTTTCTTTAAATCTAAGTTTTTTTTCACTCTTTCCCCAATCTATTATTTTTAATAAAATCAAACACATTGCATATACTATGTTTAAATACCATTTTGATACAAGTAGTATCGTATTCTTACTGATTTATAAAATTATAGGCTAATAAAAAATAAATAATGTTCCTACATTTCGCCAGCGATTAATTATGTAAGAACGAGCATCGTGTCGTAAGCGTATACGTTGATAGGATCGCCTCCGGTCGAGAGACCTTTGTTTAGAGCGATAACCGAACGAGGAGCCAATTTCTTTACGAGCGGCGCAGAAAGTTGTTTTCGGAAGCTCGCGCGGAGAGCAACTCGGAGCAACTTCATTGAGAGCGCTTGGAAACGAGCCAATAGGAAATCACACAGCAGAAAGTCTGTCGCGCGTCGTGTTCGAACGACGTCACACATCGTGACGCGTGTACACACCCGATATATGCCGGGCCACCGTGCTTGTATATTGTACAGGTATGTCCGAGCAGAAACAAGGAGATAAATTCGGCACCAACGCGAAATAGTCTTTGCCCGTTTGAAAATGTCATTTCAAACCATACAAAATGACGCTTCGACATTCATTTGCATACGCAACGCATTTTAATTTCGTATTATAATATACTAGTATCTTGCTTCTGCTCGGACACATGGAACAAGTGGATTCGCATTTACACCGCACAATTTTTAGACACTATGCAACAAGTTTGTGTATACAAATCTATTTTTATTTATTTTGTATAAATAAAAAATTGTTACTCCAAAAAGTCTATAATGTTATAACTCAAAACATCTTACAATTATATCATTCAAATAAAACTTGAAATATTTTTGCATATTCCAAAATTAAAAACGATGAATAATTTATGTCAAAATTTTCTGTATTATTCAGATCACGTCATGTAAACTATCAGATACCATGACGCCGTAATAAGCTATTTTCTCTTATCGATATAAAACCATCCTCATTTGATTATCATTGCCTATCTTACGCACGTTTTGTAAACCAAAGATAAGAGATTTCGAATCAATATCATAAAATCGCACAGTGCCGAAAATTGTGGTGTGATGTCAACGAATTTTAAATCTCTCCTAAGTCAGTAAAATGAATCAAGATCAATCTAGGTGAACGATTTTTTTTTTTCATTTAATTCTTGTTCTTTATAATTTTAATGTTTCCTTTAATTAATCATAAAGTATGTATGCGCGTTTGCTAATTATTTATACATCGTTAATTTATTTAATTGATTGTGTAATACATCAAATTTATCCAATAGAAGAAAACCATCGATTTCCGAGACTGATCTTTTACGCATTTAATAAAAAGGAGAAAATTACTAAAGGCTACTTACAGTCTGCTGCTGGGCTCATTGCTAGCTTCATCGCCTTCGATCCGATACACCTTGCCGGACATGACGTACTCGAAGCTATCCGCCCTGGAACCACCCTCCTGCTCTATAGGGTTCCATTCGTTACCATCTGGATATCCATCCTCGCGTAATGTCGTCGCCAACACGAGACGGAACTTGTCACCTGAATACACAATAATATTTTGTTACACGCAAGAATTATACCGAGTACGGTCGCTCCTCATTTAAAAATACCCTTTTAATTAAAAAAATATATAATTATATCAAAATATATTTTTAATGTTTGCTGATTTGCATTAATTAGCGTAATAAGTGTCACTTTATTGCAGTGAGATACAAATAAATAGAAATCATATTTTTTCTCATTATATATCTTTTAGATTCAATTCCCGAGAAGGGAAAAAAGATTGCGAGGAAAAATAAAAATCTCTCGTAGCACTCTGAGAAGATCGTCAAATGCGCGAGAGACTCGATGGAGGAAAAATGTGCCGGTTCATTACTTCGCGATAGGATAATACGGCATATTTTATCTACATCGCATAATACATCGACGTACGTTTGAACACGGCGCAATCTCGACGTTCTTCAAACGCAAGAAAAAAAAAGAAATAAAAACGTCGACATGCCATCGCGAAATGACGGAATTGCCAAGTCCAATAATAGCGTTCGCGCGAATGCATCGAAAACCCACATCGCTGCATCAGCGGTTGCATCAGTCGCGCTGCATCTGCTCGGGTGCAGCTGGTTTCTGCAAAACCAGAGATCTGCTCTCTTTTTTTATCCGCGCTTGCGATATTTCTCGATAAAGATTACGCGATATTCGTGAGCGTCTTCGTTAGCAAGATGCAAAATATAGATTACAAATTGGAACTTGATCAATTAAAACGAAAGAAGCGAGTCTTTTCTCTTTGTTCCAAAATTCTTCAATTGCAATCTTCAAAATGTATAGTCTAATATTGACTTGCGGAAAAAATAAAAGCAGTTGTCGATTAATAAAAACTTGTGTCATTCGTAATTTTGCTCACGCTTATTATATTTGTATGATTTTTATGCATTTATAAGCGAGATGATGCGCAAAAAATTATTACGTGTTTTTCTCCGACTGCGCGACCCAGATTTATTTGAAATTGAGAAAATAAAAGTTTAACACAATCGCGAAATAAGATTTTTATGAAACTTCAAGTGTAAAAATCGGAATCAATCTCAAGATGATTAAATTAATTTCCAGTCTCGAGTTGTGAAATTTTACTCGGATGGCAAAATATTAATGACCGTATTATATATTAAGAAGAGAAACTCAGATTGTTGGTTTAAATTAAATCAATATCGTTAAATCAGATTAAGAGAATCGATAAAAATTACACGTTGTAATTGTCACAGATAGGTCTACTACATCAGATACCTACGCTTTTAATGTGTCAAAATGTAATTTACTTCGTTGACACATGAAATTAAGTTTGTTGCGCGAATTAAACTCTTCCGGGATTGCGATTCGAGATCGATACCGGAAAAAGAGGAAGCGAGACATAAAAGTGAGAGATATACGATGTATAGGGAGAGAGAGAGAGAACAGAAATAGAAGTTGCTAAAAGGAGGTCGCAAGGTACCATTATTAGAGCGAAATTGGAGCAGATAAGGAAATGGAAAATTTTGAAACAAAAGTCCTTGCTTGAAAGAACAAATATAACAGTTTACTTATTTCACGCACATCTTAGAAACTTGCAAGTAATAACAAGTAGACTTAAATTCTGTTTCTCGATAAAAATTCGAGCCCATTAGTTCGATATTGATAAAATAATTTTCCACCTCGCATTTAATAAATTCGTCAATTTAAATACATGGATTTTATTATAGAACGTATAATAAAAATATTAAACAAAATAGAAGATAATTCTCTCTCTCTCTCTCGCGTTCCACGCAAGAGAACTTTTCAACTCGCTCGGAGGACAAATGACATTTCAACGTAAATACGTGAAATTTTACGCACGGTTAGCGCGACAAGATATCCCTGTCGTTCCCATATATAACCCTGGATCGGAGCGATATGTAAAGAGAGACCCGGGACGCAAGGTCAAGGTTAAGTACGCGTCACGGTAGGTGTAGTGCGGGCTTTAATCGATATTACATTGTCGGCGCCGCCGCCGTCGCGAAGATCGTACATCCAAACACGTCACGAGCAAATATCAAGATATTTGCGTGCGAGAAAAACGCAAACAAAATAAATAATCGACCAGGTCTTCGCTTCTAATTTATTCCTTTTTTTTTATACATACTTCTCTCATATTTTTACTTCAACTTTATCACATTTATTTACGTCGACGTTCACCTTTTGTCACATCATCGCGATGTAAATAAAATAAATAAACTTCCATTCTCCGATGATAAAAAAAAAAAAAATATGCACGTTCGCTTGAACGCTGAATTTGCGGTTATCAGCGCGAACGGGAGAATCGGGGAAAACCGGCCACGATTGATCTCACCGCTCTCTCACAAAGAGTACACGGGTACGTAAGCCGAGCTTACATCATAATGCTGCCACATCGTAATAGTGCGGCGGCTACTATAGATCATCCAGTCGTGCGTCGCGCGGTAATATCTCGCGCTTAAATTAACCCTCATTCAACCGAAACGCCATGTCCGATGAATGAACACACGAGAAGCCTTGGTATCTCGACGTTAAACTGTCGAAGGTTCATTGTTTTCAAATACGTCGCAATTTTCAGAGAAAAAATAAAAAACGAGAACGAAATATATGCTTTTTTTAGACGGTTCTAAATAAGCAGATAAACCGAATAAAAAAAAAAAAAAAGAGAGTAAATTACGTATTATCCCGGTCCCAATGACTAATTCGATCAATTAAGGATCGGTTAACGCGGAACCGGGAAGAGAGGACGAGGCGCGCGATTCACGACGATGACCTTGAGAGAATCGCTTTGGTTCTCTCTCTCTCTCTCTGGCGCGAAAGAGGAGGGGAGACCCTCCCACGAAATCGATAACGCGTGACAGGACGGCGCGCGCGATGGATGTATATACGTATATACACGCGCGTTGGGGAGATCCCCCGACACACAACGATGCGGCTTACCTCGGCGCAGCGTCCGTCCGGGTCCTGTCCGAAATCCGCCGCCATCTTGGCCGGTGACGCCGTACCTCGACTCGGCGAGACTCGTATTCGGCGCCGGATATATATGTATATTCGCCACGTACGACCTTGCCTTTTTGCACGCTCGAGAGTAAGGAGAAAGAGATTCACGGGACCACAGATTCATCGGCACTCTCGCTCGCGCACTCGACTATCCTCTCCTCTCCTCCTTTTCGTCCCTTTCGTCGTCGACGCCCCCGCTTCGCCTATCTGTCGTCGTCGAGCGACGAGGAAGAGAAGAGGAGATTCCTCAAAATTTCCACGATTCGACATCGCGCTTGAAAGTGTCCGCTCGTGAAATTTCAGGATGATCCGACAGAACTCTCTCGGCACTCCGCAGCTGTCGCGAAATTCAAAATGTCCGCTCGTCTATTTCGACGAACGACGTCACACGCGTTCGAGCAGAGTTTGCGAACTCTGCGAGACTTTACGACGGCACTTAAACGTCGCGCAGTGCACGAAACTCGGTTCGCTCGCTCGTTGATAAGACGAGAGAGAGAGAGAGAGAGAGGAAGGAGGGAGGGAGAGAGAGAGAGAGAGAGTGGAACAACGGACGTTTCACTCTCTCCCGTCGTCGAGGAAGAGACGTAACGTACGCGAGTAAAAAGAGAGACACTCACGATACGGGCACTCACGCCCGCCGCCTTTCCTTCCTCCTTGAGGACGGACGAGTATCGCGCGCGCTCGCGGCGCGACCGACACGGCTACGAGTCGTGGCCGCTTTGACCTTGGCATTGAACTTGTGGGCGCTTTACGCGGGGCGAGACGCGCGCGCGGACGGACAAACCTGCGCCTGCGGAAGGGAGTGCCGGAGTGGGGCGCGCAGCTGAGCTGGCGGAACGTGTGGCTCGCGGAAGGGTGGGGAGGGGGGAGGAAGAGGACGGGCGGACTGTGCGCGCGCGCGCGCGCGCAACTGTGTGTGCGCGTGATATTATGGGAGAAGGGAGATTGCGTCATCTCGCGCAAGCCTGAACGCCGCGCGTCAATACAGCGGAGAGACTCGCCTGCCTGGCCCTTATAGCCAACTTTCCCGCACATATGTATATGCATGTACATACTTGTATGTATTACAATACATGTACAATTGCCCCTATCTATTTATCTTTCTATATGTCAAACGCGCGTTGTAAATATATACATGGAAAAGCGCGCGCGCGCGCGATTTGTCCAAGAATGCGTGATGTGATATGAATACGATACCTTCTTTTGTACAATTTATCATTCATCGCAACGTATTCTATTTCGATTGATTTTTCACGTTCCGACTTTGATTAAATATGTATAAGAGATGCACTATAAATGGTATGTTAAATCGCGGAAATAACAGGTGTAAAATTGCACGATGAACAATGAAAATATCTACATTTTGTGTAATTTTGTGCATATTTTTTTGCAGAGTGGGGGTACAATGTAACATGTTTCGAAATTCATGACGGATATGTCAGACTCGATTTGAAATTCCATCATTAGTTATATAAATTGCAGACTGTACGAGACAGAAATGCGGATTATTCGTCATGAATATTCAATTAATACGCTCTCGAATCTCTATTATAGACTCGATTCCGTTTCCGTTTCGAGTCCACTCTGGGGAACGGAATAACACACTTTTCTCGCGAACGGCGAGGCTGAGATGAGTAGTTTGAGCGAAATAAGACGATGCCGCCCTTAGTTCGGCCAAACTTCACCAATCACCGCGGTCGCATCGGTAATCCAGAGGCGGAGTCAAGACGCGAGTCTCGAAGTCGGTCTCGGTCAGTCCGACTTCCCATTGGTGAAGTTTAGAGACGAGGCAGCGTTAATCGCTGTTCACCGGCGAGACGCAACGTGCTCGGTGAGGCAAGATGGCTAGCCAGCCCGACGATAAATCGCGCGTCATCGTGTTTTCGATACGAACCGAACGAGCGAAAAGATGGTGGCTTCGGACAAAAAATCGCTAAAGGTTCACACCGTTTCTCCAAGGACAAAAGTATGAATCAGCATCGGGGGTGAATTGAAAGGGAGAGAGGAAACGAGAAAAATCTATTGCTTTCACTTTACACAATATTTGTCAATTTCATTTCGAGAAAGGAAAAGGATCATTTCTTATAAATATATAATAAAAAGCAATCGATATAGAATTTCTCGACGATATTAAATGGTATTAAATTGGTAATTGCATTAGATGGATTTCATTTTATGTAATAAGGAACAAATTTTATATAAATAAAAAGTGATGTGAATAATTGAATAATTGTAATGTCAATTATAATTAAAATTAAAATATGTAAAAATATTAAATATAAATATGACAAATTATATGCACACACTTTCCAAGATTTATAAAGTATAATCACAACGATGAAACTTCTGACAATTTTATTTAAACTTTTCGGAGAAAAAATGGCTACTTGGTCGTGAGTAGAGCTTGAAGATGAAATCATAATATGTCCTTCATATAAGTAAGGAGATATTGGAAGGGTTGCCGATGCAACCGCAACCTTTATTTAATCTTGGCCAACGTATTTGCAGTCTCCAGCGCGTAAACAATATATTGTTGCAAACCTCACAAACTTTCAAGCATTTCGCAATTTTGTCGGAGACAGTTTAGAAGATAAACATGGAAGATTGCGTTAGCGAAATACGGTCAGAGCAAAAAATAACGAATAATAAGAGAAACGTCAACCGGGTTCCACATATCTTTTGCCAAAAATTTAGAAAATGCACATTACTTTTATTCAAGGTAAGAGAAAGGTCAATTTGAATGTCTCCATTGTCGGAATATGTGGTTGACAAATTGTCTGTACTAATAAAAGAGAGAGAACTTGACTATATGTATGTATATTAGTCTTTCAAAATACCAAATACTTTATTATGTATAAATATAAATGATATTTATTCACATATATGTATTTAATATCGAAATCTTTTCTAAATCTTCAACTAAAAAAATCGATTCCATTTGAAGACGATTTATTTTAAAAAATTTTTCCTCGTAGATTTTACATAGATTATTATTAACATAAAATTTCAACATTCAAGAAACAGACCGGAAACAAAGTTTTTGAAACATCCGCTTGTAAACCCCAAATTGCAATTGCATTTATAAATCTGAAATCTGAGAATCCTTTGCGCATCTTCGATTATCGAAAAAAGTCGGACCTATTTTAAAAATTTAGCAGTAATAGCTATATGAAAAAATGTAATCGACCGTGCCAAAATTGTCCAAAAATTGACCAAGTTTCAAAAGGCTTGCGATTAATTAAATATTCAATTATATAAATTACGATTAATTTTTTTTACGATCCGAATACTTTTGTCGATTTATTTGTTAAATCTAATAAATATGCGTTTCATGTAGAATCATTTAAATGGCAAAAAATTTAATTATGATAAAAAATAATGTAAATTTTTTTCTATTCTACTTCATAAATGCATGAGAAAAGTCACAAAGTCTTTTTTCTCTTCAGCAAGGATAATTCTAACAATGGAACTTAACAATGGTTTTCATATCTAACTTTTTGCTTCATATATATAACTTTTATTTTACTGTCACTTCTCGAAGTCACTTGTAATAAAAAGTAGAGCTTTGATTTTTTAATATACTTTTCGTTACAATAAAAATTAAAAAATGAAATGAGAGATCAAGAGAAAGAAATGCGCTTTTGTGTTTCAGGGAAATGACAAATACACAGGCGACCCGATCGGAAATTACAACCTTACGCACATTCGTAACACAAAAGAAAGGAACTGCGTAACTTTTCTATTTCCCCGTCGAATAGATTTCCGAGCAAAATATAGTTTGAGATAATAACGTGTCATCGCAGCGAAAACATAGATAGAACACACAATGTGTCGTATAATCTCTTACACTGTTGAATAATTGTCAAATTTTACTAGTTTATGACATTGAATAATTGAATTACTTTGCACATATTATAGTTGCAGCAACGTTGTAATATATAGGTAAATATGTATAAATTATGTATACGTAACTTTAAACAATATATTCAAGTCTCTTCATACATTTTTCATTAATCATATATTTTCTGTGGAATACGAGTTTTTTTTTACAAAATTGCAAGAAACCATTTCTTCTCAAGAAATTTGTTATCCCTTCTCGGAATTTTTTAAAATTATATTATATGGATATAATGCCATGTCATATTTGATATGTATTTGAATTTGTTGTCGCAAGAGCAATATTGTAACATATAATATGATACTGCAATTTTTATATCGGTCGTTCGTAGCCGGAAACAGTTAGTTTGATAATAATTTATTTATGTATTTATTTATATAAAGGAGAAAAATGTTCTTCTAGTTATATGCAAAAAAGAATTTAACATACAATGAATATTCACAATAGAAAAAAAAAAATAAAAAACATAATTAAAGAGGACAATGTAGAGAGAATGAAAGATATATAAAACGGTGGAACAAATGTGAAATTAAAAGCATATTGAAAATAAAAAAATGATCGATATATGGCGCGGTTATGGAAAGTAATATTGTATAATGCCCGTTTGAATTGGATCTGTAAGAAAAACTTATATAATGAAAGACTCACCTAAATCCATAGGATACAACCAACTGTTGATGTCCAAAATAAGATCCATCTTGAAGGACTCGGACTCGCAGTGCAGTCTGCTCACTGAAAATCACAAAAAAAGCGTATATCGTTAAAAATAATCCACCGTTACAATTGAGCGGATTAATTATACGACCACGAGGATTACGAGATGACTCGTAAATTCATTTTCTCGCAGACGCGCTTTCAATTCGCAATATTATCGGTGAACGCGTACACGAAAATGTATATCTTTTACCTATGATGCTGCCAAATCTCTCTTTCTCTCTCGTATCAACTGCCAAACGCTTTTGATATTCGTTCGAGACGAAAAAGCAGTTGGACTCGCCTATTGCCATATCGCTGCTCGTTGGAGCGATAATAGTGTCGAGTTAATTCCGAACTCGATAATGAAGAATTTTTGTCGACGCCGAGTCGTCGACTAAGATCGCGTATAAGCGCGGCTACAGACAAAAGTGTTTACACACAGCAAAATGCCGCAATAACTATGCAATTCAATCGAGTTAATAAATTATTACATTTGACATTTTTATTTCAGTCATTTTTACCTCTTCATCGTTGTATAGAAATTTGCTAGTTAAATCAATCATCATATTTCTAACGTTTTATTCAAACATTAAATGGTAATTAGTCGCTTTTGTCAATTTTGCATTCGTTTTGTTCTTCAGAGATCCTTTCCCCAACCTCTTCAACGTCTTCAAAAAATAAAATTAATATAGAATAAGATTTTATTAATAAAAAATAATGATAATTAGAAAAACACGTTAATGATTCTCTGGTTTTTTCTTATTTTCTTCCGTCAATTTTTGAAATTTATTTTGCAGCTTATATACACGTTATCACGACGCGAAAATTTATTATATACATTATCACCATGTAAGAGGAAAACTATGCTAGGGTGAAAACCTGAAGAAAAAAACTTCATAATAAACTGCAACCGTAATATATGAAAAATGCAGAAATAAGAGCTGAGAAAAATTGCAACGTTCAATATTTAAAACAGCAGAAACGCGCCATATTTCAAAGAAACTGCCGATGTGTAGG